TAGTAACAAGTGCCTTACTAGTAGTAACAAGAAGCTACTAGAAACAACAAGCTACTAGGAACAAGTGCATCGCTTCTAGTAACAAGTGCCTTACTAGTAGTAACAATAAAGCTATTAGAAACAATAAGCTACTAGGAACAAGTGCATCGCTACTAGGAGCAAGTGTACGAATTCACAGGTCTATCACTTTCAACCTTCAATCTGGTTTACCCACAGGACACAGAGGTCATGTGCTCAGTGGAAGAGATACTCAATCTGTCCTTCCTTGAAAAACCAATTCATCTTCCCCGGAAAGGCATTTGAACGTGGCTGGTGCTGTTTGACACCTTCCGGATGATCGTGTCGTTGCTAGTGTGGGATCCTCCATGCGCCCTCATGGATCATGCGGAAATCCTGACTGTTGCGATGGCTGAGTCATCTCTGCTGAATCCTGGCTGTAAAAAATGTGTCATTCGGCTGGGAAGCAGGACATCGTTGTCTGCAACAAACCTGATACTGCAAGAGATGCTGACTTCCTTGTAACATCTTTGCATCTCCAGGGATCTTGGCTTGGTAGGAACTGATAAGTTCACAACTGCAACCACACCAATGTTGGTGTTTATCTTCAGAGTTGCGGCTACTCCCTGCCCTTCAGCTCTTCCACGAAAAAAAAAGAAAAGAAACGCGTTCGAGCGATAGAAGACGAGCGTAGACGTGCTCGCACCACGTCTGCAGCTCAGGCTCTGTACAAGGTGGACTGATCTCCATAGTACAAACCTGCACAGCAACGGCATCGAACGGCTGCCCTGAAAAAAGAAAGACGGTCCGCGCCGGCGTCCGTTCGTTGGGGCGCTCGTTGGGGCGCTCTGACGATGACACGTGGTTTGGAAGAAGGGCCAAGTTCCTGAGGGTCTGCATGTGATAGACGAATCTGAGACCTGATGCGTCAAAATCTGTTTCACCAATTAGAAGGTGGCAAAATGTGGCAAAGACTCGACCCGTTTGCCCCGAAACCAACCAACCAGGGATCAGGGCTCAGGGCTCAAGGCTCGTGGGGTCGCCTCGCACCGCTTCTCTCAACTCCCAAACAGCTGCGAACGGGGCGGACGCTCCGAAACGGACGCGACGAAACGGAGGTGACGAGGCCCATCGCGAACGAGGGAGAAGACACGAGATATGGTTCCATGCGAGAAGACGCGTTTGAAGGGTGTGTAGTTGAAAGGGGAGACACCCTTGGTGCCGACGGAGTGACCGGGGGGAGAGGTTTCTATTTGAGCTACACACCCATGTGGCATGTCCAAGGACTTCGATTTCACCTCATCTGGCTGGCATTCCTTCAAAACCTGCCTATCTCCGCAACCAAAAGGGTCCACCCGATGTCCTTCTTCTCCGGCACCCCCGCTCCGACCAAAGCCCGCTCCTAGCGCTGAGGCAGAGAGCAGGCAGCTGCGCCAGAAGCCGGTTCCGGGACTGAAGCGGAGTTGCCACGCGGAAAGCACCACGGCCACCCTCGGCGCGCGTTCCGCGCGCGCGTGCGTCTTTAAGGGCGTCTTGATGGGAGATCCCTTTTCTTGCGATGGAAGGGGATGGAAGGAAGAGGGACACTCCCAGAGTCAGAGTTCTTGACCTTTTGGGCATGTTTGGAAAGAAGAACAATACTTGGAATCCTCAAGATTCGTTTGTCTTGCCAATGTGGGGTTTCTAGGTTCAATTGAGATCTTTCTTTTGGTTCTGGCCTAGAGCTTGTTTCAAAGACACTTTGCAAAGAACACAAGCAACACAACTTGCCGCGGAACAAAGGACTTCATCAGGAGCTCTAGCTTGAACATCTGCGCTGGAGCCGCACTCGTGCACAAATCATATCACCATATGATACCACCCACCTTGCACGGGTGATGTCCTTCCCAAAGCAAGTTGAGGGGTCTGTCTACAGGGTCGGAGACGCGACTGCTCAACTCCAAAGCCAGCCGGACTGGTCTAAGAGTGTAGTCTCTAGCTACATGGAATACCCAAACCCGCTCACACTCTTCCAACTCTTTCAACTCCAGCCGCTCCACAGCCATGGTGGCACGACATGAACTGCCCAAAATGCCACGCTTGGCGCGGCAAGCATGGTGGAAAATGGTGGAGAAGGATAAGCTCCTGCTGAGAGTACTGAAAGTTGAAGGGACTCTCACACTCTCACAGAGAGAGTGGACAAATGCAAGGAAAAGAGGAAGGAGAAAAGGTAAAACAAAACACCAACAACAAAAACAACCGCAAAAATTAAGAATGCAATGTCCTTGTTTCACACGAAGCGTCAACCCAAAAAAAGACCGGCCAAGCGGCGACAGTGTCGCCAAGCTCTGGATGATCTTGGCATCCCGAGTCATGCGAGGATTGGCCTCAACGCGAGGGACCGGTCGGCGAAAGGTCTGTCGGCAGCGGCCTCCTCCGCGCGCGCCCCGTCCGCGCTGGGAACCGCCCAGTCCGGTCTTTGGTTGGGTGAAAACCAAGCCCAGCTCCGCGATGCGAAGGCTTGAGCGCGGACGGGAAGAGCCTGTGCGGAACAATGCTGACAAAGGTAGGAGTTGGGTAAATCATGGTATAAACAACAGTGGAGCTGGTTGGTATTAGGTATTACTGGTATTAGTTGGGTATATCATGAGTTGGGTATATCCCATTACCAGCAATTAATAGTGGATGATTAATTAGTCAAGGCATGTGAAGGCCTTCCTCAAAAACAGTGATCATCTTTTACCGACTGTTACTGGTTATGGGCTACACCCTAGGCAGGAAATGGTAGGAGTAATGATGCCAACCATGGGATGCGAATATATGAGGGACTCGCTAAACTTTGCTGCCACGCTCGCGCCGCTTTTTTTAAACTATACCTTGGTCGCGGGTGGTGTTCACTACGTCGCACACGCAAACAATCACGATCAGCTTCATGTGCTCACCCGTGCGGATGCTGACCACTTCACTTTAGTCGGAAGGTCCTAGACCTCCACACCTCAGCAGCAAAATGACTTCTGCCACAACCAGCTGTGGTAAAACACTTGCACCATCAGCCCTTTGCTTCATGTTTGCGGGCAGTGCGACAATACCCAATACAGCCAAGGTGTCTTGACAGCTGCTTGGTGATGAAAGGAGGCTCTTCATCTCTGATGTTGTACCACATGGGTGCGGACGTTCCTGCACATTGGCCACCACATGCCACCCATCTACTTTTGTGCATCTGGTACCACACGTTGAATTGCTTATCAATGGCGTGTCTGCTCATGTAGTGAGCGGTCAATTTATACATGCTGGTGCGGGACTACACCAAATAGCCTTTGGCATGGCCCTTGTACCAAATACCCTCAGCCTGCCGGCGTGAATTCGCCAGCAAATCTTCTGTAGGGACAAAAGTGAATGCTGATGATTGGGGGCGGCCATCCAGATTGTCAGGCAACTGTTCAGGTTTCTGATGGACACCCATAGATTTGTTCTGCTGCTTGTCATCCTCCAGGAACTGCTCTAAAGCATCCATCAGCATGCGCACCAATATCTTCAACAATCACACGTGCGTCGTCTAGAGTCACCTTGGTACAGGATCCATTATTTGGATATTCCAAAAGGTCAACTCGTTTGTAAAGTTGAGGGAAGATGTCCTCAAACGTGCCATTAATTTGGTCATGTATGTACACTGCAAGGCAGTGAATTGAAACTAGGCCTTGACCACTGGCAAAGCACCTCTGAAGTGGGGGCTGTAGGGCAGCTGGTAACAGCCTTTGCCCTTTGAACTTCCCAACAATGAGGGCTTGAAGCATGACTGGGCTTCGGAGGCGATCAAACTCCAGCTTGAGCCAAACTGGAAGACTCGCGTGTCTGGAAGTGCTCATTGTTGCTGCTCGTCGGGGCATGTCATAGGATGTTGGAAAGAGCTCCATTTTCGTCAACCTTTCCCCCACAATGATGAAACGCAGGTTGGCCTACTGGCCTGTTCCCACGGTGACTTCACCTACTGGCTCACGTACTCTCACGGGCTTTGCTTCGATCAGAGTGAGGGCACTGGAATCATGATCTGTTAAGTTGTCCCCACCGCCCAGCAGTTGATGGTATAAGGTTGAATGTATCCCTGGTTAAAAAGAATGAGGATGTTCTAAACTTTTCACTAGGTCCAGACTTGCCCAGCAAATCATCCATTGATCCGAGTCACTAGGCCAAGTAAACCGTTCATCAGGACCTGCAAAGTGCGCCATGCGACGGACGGACGACAGGTCTCACACCCGGAACATGCCTCATGCCTTGAACTCGCTTGGCAGCCCGTCCATCACTATGGCGGCGAACAACTATATTTATTTACAGTACAGTTTTTTAAATATATATATATATCTTATATCATCTAACAGAGGTTTACGTCTTCTGGAGGCAAAAACCAACTGGTTCCTATACTTGTTGGCTCAAAGCAGCTCCACAGCTCAAAATGTGTGATTCCATACGTGTTTTAAATGGTCTGTTTCCTTCAGCTGGCCCTTGGGAAAGTGGGCAGCCTTGAAGCACAACCGGAAGCATTGCCAACACGATTTATTGAGCTGCTTCGGCATCAAACTAACCTGCAACTTGACTTGCACAACCTTTGCTTCCATGGCTTTCGCCAAATGTAAAACCTCTGAAACAGCTTGTGACCAAGGTCTATTTCCTGCTGTTTCATCAAGAGATCCCAGTGGCCACTTTGTAGGGTCGCTCGCCCCCGACGCCCCGGCGCACCATGAGATAGACTTCCTTGCTGTAGCCCTCCAGTGGCCCTTTCGTCCGGGTCATCACCTGGCGCGGACGCGGACCACGGGTCTCCGGGCATCGGCGTCGCGGCGTCACCGACTCGCCATACGAGCGGATGGTCACCTCCGCCGGGACGTGTTGGGGAGATGATTCGGCCCATTCGGCGGGTGTGTCTCAAGTTTGGAAGACGAAGGTCTCACCGATTCTCGAAATGGCCAATGAACTCAGGCCGGCCATAGTAGAACGGGCGTCCCCCAACTTCGGCAGTCGATTTCTGTGACGTCATCGGCACATTGTCTGTTGAGCCCATCGCTAGCAGCTAGCAGGTTGGAGTACATGTTCCACTTCGACTTCGGTGCCCAGTTCGTGGGACCCATGATCATCCCAGTTCCATCTGTTTGGCCCAGGCACATGGAGACCAAGAGATGCCACAAAGCTGTACCTGTACAGCGGTTTTTCCCACCGCCAAGTGCGGTCGGGCCACACTCGTGGAGCACGACCTCTAGAGCCCAAAATGTCTTGGACCTCTGCTGGGATTGGCTTGGAATCGGATTCTGCTTCCTACCAGGCGACATTCACTTTGTTTGGGAAAGACCAATCATTCGAAAACGGCAAAAGCAGGTCTGGGATCGACTTCGTCCACCATCCTGGACCCAATCTGAGTGGTGCGCAGGGAATGAGGGTGGCTAGACGCAAAAGAAGTTCGATTTGGCCACGAAGCACCCTTCACTGCACCACTTGGGACATCGCAAGATATGGGAAGAAGACAAATCGGCTTCGCCAAGGCTAGAATGGTTATGTGTTCTTCCTCCCAAATCGGATCGCTCAACCACCTAAGAAGAGGCTTGTGAGAAGAGACACTTTTGTGTTGATCTCTCTTCACCACTGTTGACCACAAGCGATCAGTTGACCTCAAGCGACGCAACTCTTCACTTCCTGCGTCTACTTTGCAGTGGCCAAACGAGTTCTCCCCAGTCTCCCCATCAGACAGGACACATCTGCAGCACAAGGTGGTTGCAAGGACCCCTCAACTGCAGCTGGGCCCCCGAGAGAGACGAGCAGACCTTGGCGGTCGGGGCGATCAAGAAACATGCCTTCCCTGACGTCCGTGTAGCTGAAGCAGCTCGTTAGGAGATACGACGGCTCTCGTCTTCCCAATGGATTCACATCTTGAAGCCAAAGAGCTATTAGATATGGCAGTGCAACTTCATCTACAGATTCCATCCGTCCAACTGAAGAAAGTCGGATAGGTTTTCTATGGTTTTCTGATCATGATGTTTGAAGCTGATCTTCTATCCCATCTTCCTCCGCTTCCTGGCAGCTCTCAGCTCTCCCATTCTTTTCCCCCACAAAGCACCAGCTCCGGGCTCTGCTGCTTCCGCTGCACTGCAAAGCGACCTCCTTTCGAGCTGAAGGCACTCAGATCCCCATGTGGCGCACTCGCGCTTTGCGCTGTGAGGATCATGACCACTGCAGGCAGCCTCAACGGGGCGTCTGACCGGCGGTCTGTCCCATGTCTCAACCTGGTCCCGCCGCACGAGGGACGGTCCCTGGTTTCTGGGGAATGTTGACCCGTTTGAAGCACAGAAGCAATCGGCCCCTGCCGCGAAGAAACCTCCCATACCCTTGGAGTCCAGTCGACTATGTTCAAAATCCCCTGGCTAGGTAGGTGACCCTCAGGGACTTACTTCAACCTCAATGGTATACTGTAGTAAACTGCAGTACATCTATAGTAAATTTGGGTACGCAGTTTTACATGCTTTTCACTCATTCTTACCCATTCGTGACCAAACGATCCAAGCTCCAAGTCCGACCTAGACCGATGCGCCCGAGTTCCGCTTTGGTCCCCCGGCACCCTTCGGTGCCGGTCCCACCGGGGTGGAAGTCAGAGGTTTGGCCCAAGATTCCCTTTCCATCCGAGAAAGGCCGAAAAAAAAGAAGAACAACACAAACAAAAGAAAGGTCTGTAAAGAGAAAACTCCTTTCCTAAAAACCTTTCTTCTTTAGACCTTTCTGTTTTTGCCAACATCCCCTTTCCCACCATCCAACCAAGTCCGTAGGTCCATCGATACTGAGAAGTGGACCCCAGAACCGCCCTTCACAAGCCAAGGGACTTGTTTCCCAGCTTCCACGTGAGTTCTTCCTTAGGTTGGAGGCCATCGCTAGGTTGCAAACCGATCAAAGAAAGGAAGTCAGATGGAAGAAGTAAGAAAAGAACGGAAAACTCTTCGGTTCTCCATGGGAGAGTATTCTCTCCGACTCCCAGTGAAACGATTCCCAAGGAAGCTTCTAGTTACTAGTAGCGATGGCCTCCTAGTAGCTTCTACGTTATTAGACAGCTTTATTACTAAGAAGCTTCAAAGACATACTAGAAAACTTTATTGGTACTAAAGGTGAAACGATTCCCCGGCATCTCATCAAAGAGCTTTCCGTCACAGAATCATGGTTGCGTGGAGTGAAAACCAGCGGTTTGGTATTCGGATTTCATGGTCATCCAAAAAAGGGCCAGGCCATCCACATCATCATCATACTTCATGATAAGGAGTGAAAAACCTAGACATCCAAAAACCTCTTCGATCGTCCCCAAATTTTCCTGTGCCCAGCCCAGATTCCTGCATCTTCCATCCAGCTGCTTCTGCCGACTGCCGCAGCAAAACCGCATTGACCTCAGAGGACAGCAGCACACAGCGGCCGTGCCAGGGGTCAGCGACCCGGTGAAGCTCACGGAGGGCAGCCGGGTAGAGCGTCTGATTCCTGGCGGTCGCGACCACCGCCCAGAAACTGCATTTCTGCAGGGTGTTGGCATCCTCCATAAGCCAGGCTCAAAGTCGATGCAAAAAGGGTCTAAAGATGTCTAGAGGCCAAAAAAAAACCGCTTGCGAACAATCCTGGAACGCCCACCCAACCTCCCTACACCGTGTGCGAAACACGCACACACACACACACATGCGTGGCGCCACGCACAGCCAGCCGCGTGGCCTCACCGTGTGCCACCTGGTTCGGCCAAGTGTCTCCTCCAGGGTGCCAAACTGCCGTCCGAAGGGAAGATCACACAGAACCACGTCCACCGATCCATCGGGCAGGGGCAAATGCCTCACATCTGCCTGCAGCAAGGCGCCGCCGTTGGACGGCGCCGTGCGGCGCAGCGATTGGAAATGCCGCGCAGCTCGGGTGAGCATCTCTGGGGAAATGTCCTGAGGTGAGCAGGCGTCAGGAGGCGTCAGGTGAGCAGGTCTGGGATGAAGACATGAAGGCCTCTAACTTAAGAGCGATGGCGATGGCCTCCCCCTAGTAGCGATGGCCTCCAACCTAGTTGCGATGTCCTCCAACCTACTGCGCACACAGGATTAAGTAACCACCCCCTATTGATCAATCCCAGCTCGACCCCCCAACACTAAACTAATTTAAGACCTGGATTTCCACCTTGGCATCACCCTAATAACTGTTTACTGTGCAAAAACCTCCCCCTATTAGTCAATCCCAGCTCCCCCAGGAAAAATAGTTGGGTTTAACTGTATGTATAATTATATGTATTTATTGCTTACTTTCTCACCATCTGCGCCTCCATATTTGAAAGGCCAATACTATTGTACTCATCTTGAATTTTCTGATCCCTCTCCCATTGGGTGTCATATGCCATAAGGTCATACCAATCCTCCAGAGGCCACCACTCAGACCATCCAGTCCATGGATCCACCCTGGCATGGCTCTCTGATCAACTCTATCTGATCTCTTGTCAAACTTGTGCCAATACACTTAGAGGAATCATGGTTCTCATGGTTCAATCTCTCATGACACAGAATCCCATCAACCATCATCCATCATCAGGTCCAGGTCCTCATCTCATCATCCATCATCAGGTTCAGGTCCTCATCTCATCATCCATCATCAGGTCATCACCTTTATTAGGGGGATGTGGCCCTCAGATACCTCCAATCTCAGACCTTGTTGACCTTGTTGACCTTGAAGGGGGGGGCGTTTATTAATCCGGTGTTGCCATTAATAGCGTCTGGGATGAAGACATGAAGACTTTGCTGGTGAAACGTGGCACTTGAAGATACTTTGAAATTGATTCTGTGTGCCACCATGCTCATATATTGCTAAAGGATGGACCGAGAGGAAAGGCCAAAATGACAGGTCTGTTTGCAACATGTCAATCCACACACAAGGTACACATATAGTTACTCTCAAGTCAAGGCTCATCAAGCACAGGTCCAAATTCTGTCTTCCCCACCCTCTCCATCTGTACAGGTTTTTTCCCCTTGGCCGCGCCACTTGCATTTGCTTGAAGAACCGACCCAGACAAATAGAAGACTCTTCGGCAAAAGAGGATTCACCCAGTTCCGGATAAATCCATCACCCTCACCCAGGAACTCATCGGATATCTGAGGTCCTAAGAAACATAGTAATGCCCTTTGTTGCTAGTAGCGATGACCTTTGTTCCGTTCGTAGCTTCTTGTTACTAGTAGTAAGGCCAGGAGCCCCGTTCGTAGCATCCGATCCCTCCGTTCGTAGCGATGCCCTGGTAGCTCTGTGGCCGGCCTTAGGGCACCACTCCATCAAACCGACTCACCTCTCCTCCAGGCGTCAGAGCCGATGAGCAGGGCATTGCGATCCGAAGCTTCGGTCAACAGCATGCCTGTTCCACACATGGGATCTAAGACCACCTGGCGGCAAGGGGACGCTACGAACGGAGGGATCGGAAGCTACGAACGGGGCTCCTGGCCTTAGAGAGTTCTCACGCAGAAAAAAGAAACACACCCCGCTACTAGGGACTCCTGGCCGTACTACTAGGAGCAAGAAGCTACTAGGAAAAAGTGCATCGCTTCTAGTAACAAGTAGACTAGGAGCGATCGGACGCTACGAACGGGGTGCGCTCTCTTACGACGAACGGAGCAAGGTGGGCCGAATTTCAAAGGCCAAGATGCCAAAAGCCTCTGCTCCGTTCGTAGCTTCTTGTTACTACTAGCGATGCACCTGTTACTAGTAGCGTGGCACTTGTTACTACTAGCTTCTTGTTACTACTAGTAAGTGCGAGCTTTTCTCGAACCTCAAAGGCCTGTATGTCGGTTGTTTGTACAGGTCGTTTCAAGGTGTGGAGTTACGTAGCTTTTCTTACGCACTCCTCCTTGCTGGCTTGAGCTGTTTCGCTTACGCCAGCAGTCCACCTTCACCATGGAACTTGATCGCTGTCTAAAAAGGGCATGTGTTTGTCCATGCGGCTGTACATCTCCATTTTCTGTTCATGATCACTTCGCTGGTTCAAATCGAACCACCTTCGCTCAAACTGCAGCGCATACTGCTTTGCCCTGAGACACGATCTTGCTCCAGGTGTATCATACTGCATCACCTCTTGCATCTCTGCGTCTGTCAACCATCGTGTAGTCGGCATTGACATTGTTGGGTCTTCATATCTCCTCTCTTCACTTGGGTTGGCTCTTGATGCCCTCGGTCTCTCTTCTTCATCTTCTTCCATAGGTGTGGGTCCTTCTTCTTCACTTTCTGGCTCCCTCGGCTGTACATCACGTGCTCGAACTGTGATGATTTCACCTGAGTCCAGACGAACTTGTACTTCATCATCTGGATCATGGTCTTCACCCTCACTTTCAGCCTCTATCAAGGTGTTGTCCCTGACGTTCAAATGAAGTCTCGTTTGAACAGCATTGGCTTTGAGATAGCTTTTGATCTGCCCATCCAATCTCCTCATATCAAACTCTCTGTTGGTATCCTCGATGTAGTTCCAATGCTTCCAATCTTCTTCACCGAACTCACTGTCATCGACATAGCCTGAGGCCTTGATCAGCCCCCTGTGAACTCGTTGCACATAGTTCTTGAGCTTTGCCAATCCTTCTTGAGCTTCATGACCATAAGCTCCAATCATCATGCCATTCACTTTCTCATCCTCCGTCACACTCTGAAGCCTTGCCTCCATTCTCTCAAGCTTCCTCCAGAGCTTATAGATGAAAAGGATCAGCACTCCAATCACCATGAACAAGATCACAATGAGCATGCTTGTCCATCCGCTGCTTCCATGTGCTTGTGTAGTCATGTCACCTTCACCTCT